TATCGCGTCCCGTGTGTCGGGTTTCACCCTGGCTGCGATGACAGCCGTTAATCGCTGTAGTTTGTCGCTGCCCGTGTGTCGAGCCCTTAAGTTTCACTTTCACTTTGCTCTGTTACTGCCGAGAGCTGGCAGGAGTCATGGGCTGCTTTGTCAGACAAAATTAATTTAATTTGGAAACCTTATCAACACAGACTGGCTTCATTCACTTCCTCCACTGCCGTATGCTAAACTAAAACTAACACTGCGCAGAAAATCGACATCGTTCAAAACTCCTCCTTCTGTTCTCTGATTGGCCCAGGTAAAATGCTACCAAAGAAATCCTTCGCTATGGGAGACGGAGCAGTGAAGGAAACTAGAACTGAGCAGAACTGAAGGCTCGTGGAAACTTGACTCAAAAACACAAAACATACACGAGAACCTGCTGTACGGTGATGAATAAAGAGCTCAGCCCGAGTCGCCTGGTTGTGATTGTGACTGGAGTTTTATACGATTGTTTGTTTACACTTGTTTACTCTTGTTTTCTGGTTTGTTCTGTTCCACTCCACCTTGGCAGTGAGTTGCAGGGTGATTCAGGATGGCGGAGCAGCCTCTGTGGGAGCAGATAGGATCCAGCTTTGTGCAGCACTACTACCAAATGTTTGACAATGACAGATCGCAACTTGGATCAATATATGTAGGTTGACAGATTAATAAAATGTATCGAAATTATTATTTATATTTAATTATTGTGTTTACTGCTTGTATTTGTGATGTTCTTTCCTCCATTTCTCCTCAGATCGACACGTCATGCCTTACATGGGAGGGACAGCAGTTCCAAGGAAAAACATCAATCGTTGAGAAACTCGCTGTGAGTTTTTATCTATTTATTTATTTTTTGGTAGCTTATTGCTGCTCAGAGGTCAAGTGTGTTGTTAGTCCGATACTCATTGTCAAAACCAACAGGTGATTAATTTATAACTCATCAGAGGAAAAAAATCCTCACTTATTCCACCTCTTCTCATTTTTAAGTTTTCACTCAAACTTTTAAACTCTTTACCTTCAACGCAGCTTCCTCAAATGTTAAAAGTACTTCAGGATAATTTAGAGCAACTTGAGGATTATCCTGATATTCCTGAATTAATCCCACCCTTGTGTTTTTTCTTCGTACACTAGAGTCTCCCCTTTGCAAAGATTGCTCATAGTATAACAGCGCAGGACCACCAGCCGACTCCAGACAACTGTATCTTGAGTATGGTTGTAGGACAGCTTAAAGTAAGTTTTACTGCTTTTCTTCTTCCAACATTACAGGTGCTGGTCATAAAATTAGAATATCATGAAAAAGTAGATTTATTTCAGTAATTCCATTTAAAAAGTGAAACTTGTATATTATATTCATACATTACATACAAACTCATATATTTCAAATGTTTATTT